GAAAGAAATAACAGGAAAAACTAAAATTGCAATAAGAGAATAGGAAAAAAAAGAACAAAACATAAGGGCATAAAGCAGTAGCTTCTGATATCCTTCACAGCAGCTAAAAGTACAATTACGTTTTAACTTCTCTCCCTAAAGTTACAACCTGACTCTCTTCTTTCTATAATCTCCATCCTGCCTAATCATCAAAGCCACGAATCACAAGTGCATTTTTTTCTCATTTTTGCACATAACGTCAGCAACATTGTCTTGTCTCTAAACAAAGAAGTCAGTTTATCCTTCTGTCAGTTTCATTCTGTCAATTTCACCAACTATTCTTCCATGGTGGACAGCGTAAACCTTTCCATATTTCCACAATCTTCCCAAAGGGATTGGAGAGATTAGCTCCCATGAGCTTTTTTCCCCTCTAACAGTTTATCCAACAATCCCCAAAGTCAAAATTCTGGCTCCAATAAACTTCTCTTTTGAATGAAGATGTATGTAACCATACTACAACTTTGCAAATTTTTGAAGCCTTGGGCAGACCGTCCTTCATCCACCTTGTCTGCTGTAACAAGGAGCTGGTTGTTGTTCAATCAATCAATCAATCAATCCGTCAGTCAGTCAGAATGGAGCTGGAAGGGATCTTGGAAGGGACCTTTTTGTCCAGAGGTAGGCAATCTTGGCTCTTTTATGACTCATGGACTTCAATTCCCAGAATTCTGGCTGGCTCAGGAATTCTGGGAGTTGAAGTCCACGAGCCATAAAAGAGCCAAGGTTGCCTACCCCTGTTCTAGTCCAACCCCCCGCTAAGCAGGAAACCCTATTCCGGATAAATGGCTGTCCAATATTTTCTTGAAAATGTCCAGTGATGGAGCACCTGCAACATCTGGTGGCAAGCCGTTCCACTGGTTAATTTTTTCTATTTATTAGCAGTCCTCAACATACGACCACAACTGATCCCAAAATTTCTGTTGCTAAGCAAGGCAGTTGTTTAAATGAGTTCACATATGACCTTTCCTGCCACAGTTTTTAAACAAATCACTGCAGTTGTTAAGTGACTCATGCAGTCGTTAAGTGAATCTGACTTCCCCCCCCCCCATTGACTTTGCTTCTCAGAAGCCAGCTAGAAAGGCTACAAGTGGTGATCACATGACCCCGGGATCCTGCAACTATTATACATATGAACCAGTTGCCAAGTGCCTAAATTTTGATCACGTGACCCTGGGATGCTGCCACAGTCGTAAGTGTGGGAAACAAGTCATATGTCACTTTTTTCAGTCCTGGTTTCATGCCGGTCACTAAATGAATGGCTGTTAAGTCAAGGACTTCCACACCACCTAGGGTTGCTTCTGTAAGACAGGCAGCGTTATAAATGTAATAAATAAAAATAGATAAATAAAAATGCACACTCGTGTCTCCAAAATCGCTCCTCAATCGTGGATAATTTCTCAGCTTCTTTGCATACATTCCAGCCTCATTTTAACAAACAATGATTGCACTGTGGGTTGTATTTAACTGACATCTGACCCTTCTGTTTACATTCTTCTGTGTTGGCACGCATGAATATGTTGCCTCTGCCAACTGTGGATAGAACGCCACACAGCTGATCCTGGGCATGCAAGTCCATGACAGATCACACCACAATAAATTGGCCAGTCTTTAATTCATGAACAAGGAGCCATTGTGATTTGTTATTTCTGTGTGTGCCGGTGTCTGATTGTCCCAGTTTATCACCAGGAAGCACAAAAGACAACAAAATCTGGTTGAACAAATGTAGTCTCTGATCTTAACGTGCTCATGTTACATGGGGAAAAAAATCCAGAAATATTACGATGTTTTGCAATGGCTCATCCATGAGGGATGTGGCAACAAGGTCAGGATTGGGGCGTTGGCACTACATGTAATCCTCGACTTACGACCACAATTTCTGTTGCTAAGGGAGACATTTGTTAAGTGAGGTTTGCTCCATTTTACGACCCTTCTCGCCATATTTGTTAAGTGAATCCCTGCAAGTGTTAAGTCAGTAACAAGGATGTTAAGTGAATCTGGTTTAACCATTGACTCTGTTGTCAGAAGGGCGCAGAAGAGAATCCCATGATCCGGGACACTGCAACTGTCATCAATATGAGTTATTTGCCAAATTCTGAATTTTAATCACATTATGGGGACGTTGCAACAGTTGAGAAAGAAATGGTCACAGGTCACTTTTTTCAGTGCTGCTGTGACTTTGAATGGTCACTAAATGAACTGTTGTAAGTCAAAGGCTACTTGTAGCAGGACAGGAAACACTGTCAGCCAAAGCAGGGCATTTATTAATTCCATGAAAATAGACGGAACTACACACTGCATGCTTAAAAAAATGTACAAGGAGGTAGAAAGGACGAGGCGTTGCATTCAACAGAGATATCAAAGAATTGTGGTGTCAGAAAATCACTCTAATTAAAGAACAAAGCAGTGCTTTGCATACAACCATTTAGTGACCATTTGAATTTGCAATGAAAAAAGTGACTTAAGAACTGGTCCTCACACTTATATCGTCATGGTCATATGATCAAAAGTCCGGCACTTGGCAACTGGCATTTGGAGAAGCCACAACAACAGGCTACAACAGGTTTTTCAATGGGAATCTGACTTGACTGAAATCTGATTTCTTCTACTACATTTTTTTTCAACTGCCTTCAAATTAAGCAGGCCTGACCTAAAAGAGTTAATCTCCTAGGTGATTTAACAGAGTTGTGAAGCTGAAAAGTTTCCACCTTGTGGGATCTGAAACATCCCATCACTGCAATCCACAAAGCAATCCACACACACACAAATGCACTTCCGAAAAGGAAGCATTTACATGGCTTCACTCGGGCCTTGCTGTTCAGGCTCCTCTGCCACGTCCAGTATTATAACAACAACAATAATAAGTTGGAAGGGACCTTGGAGGTCTTCTAGTCCAACCCCCTGCTCAGGCAGGAAACCCTATACCAGTGGTTCTCAACCTTTTTAATGCCGCGACCCCCAACCGGTCGTAAGTCGAGGACTACTCAACCGGTCGTAAGTCGAGGACTACTCAACTGGTGCAGCACCGTTTGCAGAATGGGACTTTTGGCGGGCTCAGCAGGGCAGAGACAGCCTGGACAATTCCTATTGGCTTTTGAAAGCCAATAGAATTAGACTCTATTCAAGAGAGTCTATTCTATTGGCTTTCAAAAGCCAATAGAATAAAAGGGAGTAGCACAGCTAAGGAAAAGGGGGGAAAAAATGGCAGACTGCGTTGTTTGGCGACCCCCGTGAAATTATTTCAACCCAGATTTCAAGATAACCCTATTTAGGTCCTCAACAGTTGAAACGAAGGACATTTTATTATTTAGAAAGCTGAAAGTATCGAAAAGGAGGAGGAAAAAATAAATGTTCTATCAAGGTCAAAGGCTTTTTAAGATGTCAATATTGCAAGCCTAATTTTTTTTTTAACTTTTCAATCAAAATTGAGGACATTAAAAAAAAAAGTCTGCTATATTTCGTATCCTACTAGCAGTTTATGTGACAATCATTTTGGTTGGAAATGGATTAATTAATATTAAGATCTCCCTTATATTAGTAGTGTAGGTAGATGATGGATGGATGGATGGATGGATGGATGGATGGATGGATGGATGGACGGATGGATGGACGGACAGATAATATTAGATACATATTAGGATAATATTAGATAGATAGATAGATAGATAGATAGATAGATAGATAGATATTAGATAGATGATATTAGATAGGATGATATTAGATAGATAGATAGATAGATAGATAGATAGATAGATAGATAGATAGATAGATAGATAGATAGATAGATAGATAGATAGATAGATAGAAAGATAGGCAGGCAGGCAGGCAGGCAGGCAGGCAGACAGACAGACAGACAGACAGACAGAGAGGCAGGCAGGTAGGCAGGCAGGTAGGCAGGCAGAGAGATAGATGATAGAATAATATCAGATAGATAGATAGATAGATAGATAGATAGATAGATAGATAGATAGATAGATAGATAGATAGATAGACAGACAGGTAGGCAGGCAGGTAGGCAGGCAGGTAGGCTGACAGGCAGAGAGATAGATGATAGAATAATATCAGATAGATAGATAGATAGATAGATAGATAGATAGATAGATAGATAGATAGATAGATAGATAGATAGATAGATAGATGATAGATTAAATATTAGATAGATGACACATGATGGGTGGATGGATGGATGGATAGGGTTAAATGAGACATAGTTAAATGAGAGAGAGAGAGAAACAAAATATAGACAATGCAAATTTGCAGTAGCTGTATAAGGGACGCCCCTTCGACAATGGCAAGCCAAGGTGAATCCGAACAGGTGAATCGCTGAACTTGACGTCTGCAGAACGACCTTCCGGGCTCACACGCGCGTGCACACAAACACTCTCTCTCTCTCACACACACACACACACACACGTGCACCTTTCGCCCCGTAAAACTGCACCTGCAGCCCGGCCCCTCCTTAAAGCGGGGGTGGGGGAGCCTCCCGCAGACCAGCCCGACCCTCCCTCGGCCCCTCTCCTCCCCGCTCAGCCCCCCCCCACCCACCCGCCCAGCCACCCAAGCCTGGAGCCGCCCCGGCGCCGGCAAACGCGCCTGGCCTGCAGGGAAGGTGGGCAGCGGCCGGGCGGGAGACATACCGGGAGGGGAAGACCCGGGAAGGGGGGGGGGTGCCGGCAATTCTGCCCCCGTCCCAGCGGAGGAGGAGGAGGAGGAGGAGGCCGCCCCGGTCTCCCCCTCGCTGCCCCGCCGAGGTTTCGCCAAAGCCACGCAGGCCCGCGCCCTTCCCGCACCCGCAGAGCCGCCGGGAGGCGACACAAAAGGCGAGGGACGCGTGCACACGACCAGCCGGGCCAGACCCGCGCCTGGCCAAGAGCCGGGGGGGAGGTTGGGAGGGGGCTGGCCGGGCAAGCGTGGAAGGGGGCCGGGAAGGGAGGGAGGGGGTGGAAGGCGGCGCCGGAGCCACTCACCGCCGCTGCCCGAGCTCCGCCGGGAAGGAAGTTGCCCGCCGCCGCCGCCGCCGCCGCCGCCTCGCGGCTCCCCCGCACCGGCGCCCAGGAGCGGCGGGGGCGGGGCAGGGGGCGGGGCAGGGGGCGGGACCGGCGTCCCCTCCTCCTCCTCCTCCCAGCCCAAGACGTGGCCGGGTGACAGGCAGGGAGGGCTGGCCAATGGGGAGGCGGGTGGGAGGGTCTCCGCCGCCTCCGCCCCGCCTCCCCTGGGCAACTTTCCCGGGAAGGCAGGCGCGGCTGGGCCGGAGGGACGGACGGACGGGAGCCTCGCTTCCTCCGCCTCGCCCGCCCCGGAGCCCCGCGCGGGTCCCTTGGAGCTGCCCCGGGAGCCTCCTGCCCTGCGGCTCTTAGAGCAGCGGGCGCGGCTGGCGCCGGAGTCCTCCCTGCAGGGCCGGTGCCGTTTTCAGGTGGCAGGGAGTTCCGAAGGATTCGAGAGTTTCGTGGGAAGGGGTCCCCGGGCTGGGGGTTTGGGGAGCCCAACCCAAATGAACGGGACGGAGGCCGACCCCGACCCGGATGAACGAATCCAAGTGGAAGCACAAGGAAAAGTACGCAAAAGCAACGTACCGCGTGTGTGGGTGTGTGTGTGTGTGTGTGTGTGTGTGTGTGTGTGTGTGTGTGTGTGTGTGTGTGGTGTGGTGTGTGTGTGTGTGTGTGTGTGTGTGTGGTGTCTCTCTCTCTCTCTCTCTCTCTCTCTCTCTCTCTCTTACAAACACAAACCGGACCTTGGCCAGCCTTAAACGGGGGGGGGGGGGGCAACTCCCACCTCCCCTTGACAAACGATGCAACAAATTTTGAGGCTAGTTGGATTGCCATTTTTGTTACTGTACAGGTAGTCCTCGACGTAACGACCGCAATGGAGCCCAATGTTTCAATTGCTATGTGAGACAGCTGTTAATGTGACCAACTTTTTTACAATGAGAAGGACACAAATAAATTGAAGAAAAAAAGTGAGTCTAATGCGTGCATGTGTGCCGTGTCATGTTTCGGTAAGACGTAAACAAAGCCACTTGCATGCGGCGCTCTCTTGTGCGCGGCGCACTCTCTCAAAACAGTTCTGTGCAGAGCGCATGCGTCTCATAATCGTGAGCCTTGACGAATCGTCATGTCAAATACAAATACATCACATCAACGGATCGAGTCGGCATCAATCGAATACGGAGATTTACAGATTAGTCTTCAAATATCAAAAAGGGGGACATGTAGGAGGACACTTTGCGAGAGAGGACAGAACTTACAAAAGGAGGACTGTCCTCCCTAAAGGAGGACGGTTGGTCACCTTACTGTTAAGTAAGTTTTGGAATGAATCACTGTAGTTAATAACATGGTTATTACCTATATCTGGCTTCCCCACTGACTTTGAGAAGGTCGCAATAGGCGGTTAACTGACCCTGGAACACTGCAACCGTCATAAATACATGCCAGTTGCCTGGCGTCTCATTTTGATCACCTGGCCCTGGGGATAGCAATAGCACTTAGACTTATATACCGCTTTACAACCCTCTCTAAGTGGTTTACAGAGTCAGCATAGTGGCCTTCCCCCCAATGATCTGAGTCCTCATTTTACCGACCTCGGAAGGATGGAAGGCTGAGTCAAGCTTGAGCTGGTGAGACTCGAACTGCTGGCTGGCAGCAGGTAGCAGAATTAGCCCGCAGTACTGCATTCTAACTAGGGATGCTAGAATTATCTATGAAAAATAGTCAGTTTCCTCCAGTGCTATTGTCACTAAATGTCAGGTCCCCGAATCCTTATTGTCTTCCTTGCATGTATACTCTTGTGCTCTTGTTTGGGGGCCTGCCTGCTATTCTGCTGGGGGAATATTTACTTTCGCTTGGGATAACTTTCCCTTTCTACCTTTCCATCTCCCGCCTTTATCCTCTTGAGAAAGGAATGTGTCTCCCTTATCAGGAGACGGTTGCAGAGAAATGAAAGCTGGAGAAGACCTTGAGATGCTGGAGAAGACCTTGAGATGCGAGCCAACTGTGCCAGTTACCCGCTCATCGTGCCACCTGTGAATTGGCTGGATTTCAAATGGACATTATGACTGTGGTGGGTGGAGGAATGTTGCTGGTTTAATTCTATGGTTCAAGTGGGATTTCCCCCAGACCTTGCCTTGACTTCCCTACTGTCACTGACCCTTAATAAAAGTTTCCTTTTGAGACAATGCCTGTTTCAAGAGTCCTGCTTTCTTGGGTGGTTAGCTGAGGTGGGTCCTTAACACTGAATGAATGATTGTAAGTTGAGGATTACCTGTGTTGCTGTTCTGGTGTTTTTATTTATGTTACTGTATTTGTATTTTCTTTTTATGTTTAATTGCCTTACTGTATTTTTATGTTTATTTTTACTTACTGTACTATGTATTTTCTTCTTGTGTTTATGTTTCTCTGACTTTTATTTACATTTTCTTCTTCATGTTTATTTTTATTTGTGTTACTGTATTTGTATTTTCCTTTTCAGGTTGTAAGCTGCCCAGAGTCCCAAGAAGTAGAACAGCTCTAAAACTGAGTTGAGTAATGAATAAATAAATTAAAATCTGGACCTATGAGCCCAATTACAAAACCAGCAAAACCTATCTAATTTTGCTAGCAAAATTTACAACAAAGCAATCCTCCCTACTAACTTGATCAATGGCAATTCCCAGGCTTGGTCTGCTTTATTCAATACTTAGGATAGATAGAAACTTGATTAAGGCCATCGATCAAATTAGTTTTAAGGATCTCAAGGGAATTCATGCTACTGCATGGTTTGTTTTCTCAGCTTGTAAAACTGGCACCTTGTGGAGAGCTGAATAGTGCGACAATTATTGTCCCTTTTTAACCTTGAATGCCATTTTATTTTGCATGTTCCATTTCGTGTGTTGTATTTTGTAGGTTTTATTTAATGAATCTTATTTAGACTGACTTGTAATATATAAAAAAATGATTTGCTCTGAAAGCACACGAGAGCAAGGAAATGGCGTTTGATTCCTGGAGGCCTAAATGATTTCTCCTTCATCTAGTTACTGATCATCACATAACGTACAAGCAATGTAGAAGAAAGATACCAAGGAATAACATCTTTAGTAGAGAGGTGTGTTCACACAATTTGCTAAACCACAGTGTACAGCATGCTGTCCCTGTTTTCCAGTTTCTTCTTTGCATCTCCTCTGACAGCTGTTGTTGAAAAAAGGAGAAGCTGTATGTGATCTTGAAGACTTGGGTCACAGATCTCTTTCCTTAGTTGGAGAATTCTGGGAGTTGAAGTCCATGTGGCTTAGAATTGCCAGGATAGACAACAGAGTCTAGACAGAATGAGCACTGACAAGCTAGCCCTGATGACCCCATCAACTCCTCTTACTTTCCCCTTGGTTGGAAATTTAAGTTTGGGAGTTTGCAAGAGGGAGCGCAAATGCGTTCATGTGCAAATGTGCAAGATTTCATTACACAGAAGGAACGTGTTACTGGTTTTTGACACAAGAAAAGAAGAGTGAACTATAGACCTGGTCCACTCAAGTTGCTAGTGTTCCTGGGGCTTCAGAATTAGGTTCAAGCTGCAGATTAGGAGCACGCTGTGACTATTAATAAAATATTTCCCCCGGTTTTCCTTTACAGCATTTCTTCCTTGCTACACAGTCACTATTTGCAGAGTACAGAGCTCTCCAGACTTGGCAACATTAAGACTTTAAGACTTGTGGACTTTAACTCCCAGAATTCTGGGAGTTGAAGTCCACACGTCTTTACTTTGCCAAGTTTGGGGACCCTGGTTCAGTGCACTGTTTCCTTCAGCTACATCACCCATCCCTTCTCCCGCTGATAATTTTTTCTGCTTGCTCTGGTAACAAATCCCAAGTGCATTTTCATTTGCATTACTCTCATCCCTCAAGTGATTTCCACTGGAAAGAAGAAAGGAAAGGAAAGGAAAGGAAAGGAAAGGAAAAGGAAAAGGAAAAGGAAAAGGAAAAAAAGAAAAAGAAAGAAGGAAGGAAGGAAGGAAGGAAGGAAGGAAGAAGGCAGAATGGGAAAGAAAAAAAGAGAAAAAGAAAGAAAAGAAAAAGAAAGAAAGAAAGAAAGAAAGAAAGAAAGAAAGAAAGAAAGAAAGAAAGAAAGGAAGGATTTGGAAGATGCATTAAGCCAAGAGATGGTGCAACATGGATTGATCTGGCTGCTGGAAATAATACCGACACTCAAGAACTGTGCAAGGAACCCTCAGGGGAAATGATAGGATTGTTCAAACCAAGCCAGGAACAAGATACTGTACTTTTGTATGAAACATCCTTGTCTAGCATCTTCACAAGGTGTCCTGTGTTAATACATAAGACATAGAACAATAGGCTTGGAAGGGACCTTGGAGGTCTTCTATCCTCTGATCAAGCAGGAGACCCTACACAAACAAATGGCTGTCTAGTCTCTTCTCGAAAATCTCCAGTGATGGAGCGCCCACAACTTCTGGAGGCAAGCTGTTCCATTGGTTGTTCTCACTGTTAGGAATTTCCCTCAGTTCTCAAGTATGGCAAATTTTGAAAGCATGGTCCAGTGTTTCTCAACCTTGGAGCATTAAGATGTATGGACTTCAGCTCCCAGAATTCCCCAGCCAGCATGCTTTGAGGATTGATGGTAAAACTGTTGGAAAAACTCATGCCTTCAGAAGTTTTGGGTGCTCCATCACTGGAGGTTTTTAAGGCTAGACAGTCACGTATCTGAAATGGTATAGGTTCTCCTGCTTGAGCAGGGGGCTGGACTAGAAGACCTCTAGGTCCCTTCCAGATTTCTATTCTATTCTATTCTATTCTATTCTATTCTATTCTATTCTATTCTATTCTATTCTATTCTATTCTATTCTATTCTATTCTATTCATGGAACTTTGTTTTTACATATGACAACTGCAGAGAGACTGCTATATATGTTCAAAAATGAGTTGAAGTCCACTCATCCCAAAGTTGCTAAGGTTGGCATAAACTGGTATAGATGCTCACCAAGATGCACCTTCAGGAGCATGAAAATAATCCCTTCCACTCTCCAGGTTGGGCTTTTACATTCCGAATCCAGTCAGGAGATAATCTTTTGCCCCAGTTGGTCTTA